GTATAAGTAGTATAATTAAAAGCTCAATTTTCATTGATTGAGCTACTGCAAAATTTAATTACAAAAGCTATGTCAAATAAAACATAAAATTTTGATTAAAAAAATCTAGTTTACAATAAAATATTGATTAAATTATATAATTAGTCTTTATATTCTGTTAACGGGTGGATTTAGTCTTTATATAATAATTTGTAAAAATTGAATCTTAATACTTTTTAAAATTGACAATATTAGTCTAATGAGTTAAAAATTTTTTATTGTCCATATTGATATAGGGTTTGGTTGTGTTGACGTAATATTTTTTTATTGATGTGACATTGGATCTAATAACATTATAATGATGATATGGCATTTTGCGAATGATATAATAGCAGTATTGAGATGACATGATCAAGCACTGAAATGGATTTTAAAAGTACGGATGTGAAATTATTTAATGTGAGCTAATGATTTTAATCGGGATCGGAAAAGAAATAGATAAAAAATACAAATAGGTTTTTAGGATTTTAGGGAAAGAGTGTTATGAGAAAGATAAGAATTGAATTTTTATATTTCATAATTTAAAACAAAGAAAAGAGTGTTAAAATAAAAAAAATGTTATGTGATCATTAACACATGATCATAATCAATGTCCTATTAGCCAGAAAATATCATGTCAGTATAAGTAACAAAATTTTTTTTCACATTGTTAACAATTAGATTGATATTGTCAATTTTAAAATGTATAAGATCTCAAATTTTATAAATTATTGTATAAAGATTAAATTCATCACTTTACTAGAGGACATGGATCAACTGTATAATTTATCCTGAATTTATTTATGAATGGCAAAAGCAAGTAGGAACTTGCATGTGCAATTGTAACTATTTTTAATTACAATTTTTAATCACAATCACAATGTCCAATGAGATGTAAATAACACTATACGGAACTCTTTTTTTTAAAGGGATAATTAAATTCCATCATGAAGTATCAAAATTACAATATGAGTAAACCAATTTAACTAACCAATACCTCTCACATTGTAAAGGACCTATGGCTTAGTATGAGCCTCATTAAAAACCTACTTATGGGAAAACCCAATGAGACAAAACCCATTAGTAGAAAAAAGAGTACTCATTAAGCATGCCAATCTAATATTAATAATTATCTTCATATGTTGACAATGTCACTCCTAATTACAAATTAAATTGACACAGGTATAGTGGATATTCCCCTCCAGACAAGTTGAGCCATACCCAGTTCTTGAACTGTCTTTGCAATCTCATAAGCCACCATATTAGTTGTCCTCCTACAGTGCTTGATCATTGAACAATTTAGCTGACGTAAAACTGAGCAAAAATCTGCAATAATGTGTCCCACCACTCCATTAAATTGTTCGCCCTTTATCCACTTGACTACTTGCACAAAATCAAGCTCAATCTCTGAAACCTGTGCCTGTTCGTGCTGACATATCTCCAATGCCCATAACAGAGCTTTAAGTTCGGCTACCGCTGCACTAGAGTAATGTGCTATCTTCAACCCTCCTGCAAGCAAGAATTCCTCATTACGGCCTTTCACAATGAATCCTGCCCTTACGTATTTACCTCCATTTTCAACAAAAGTGGAAGCATCACAATTCAATTTGATGTGAACTGAAGGCCGCCATTTAAACTTGTTAGATACATATGGTTGTGCAACCAGATTAGTGATAGCTACAGCAGACCTATATTGACAACACATATCATAACCCAATTCCACACATTCATTCGGTTCCTTCCTCTCCTGCTTAAAAATTGTTAGATTTCTTCCTTTCCAGATTGCCCACAAGACACAGATAATGTACTCTACGGCATCCTTGTCAAGGTGTTGTAATAGCATGTTTAACCATTTCCCTGTTGAAGAAAATTGCTGCGGAATGTCTTTAAAGCCCCATTTTGAATACAGCCAAGCAGCTCTAGCAAACGGACATTCACAGAAAATATGGAAATCCGTTTCTAACTCCACTCCACAAAGGACAATCAGGCTCAATATGAATTCTTCTTCGAATCAAAGCCGCCCTAGTAGGAAGACAGCCAGTCAATACCTTCCATATAAATAAAATTATTTTCCTCGGTAATTTGAGTGACCATAATTTTCTCCATCTAAAACCTTCATTATTGGATGAACCTGATGCGTGATTATTGCCCACTCCAGAGCAAAGTAATCGATATCCCAATCGGACCTTGTATTCACCATCCAGACTATTATTCCATACCAATTGATCTACTGGCCGTCTAATACTTAAAGGCACTGATAGAATGAGGTCCTTTTCATGTGGAGGAAAGCATTCACTGATTTTCACCTCATCCCATATCATTTGGTCAACAAAAATAAAATCACTTACCTTTATTGAGTTTGACAGCGCATTACTACATGAAACAACGAACCTAGGTGTCTTATAAGGGATCCAATTGTTCCTTTTAACCCAAATCGTCCTCCCATCACCAACTCTGTAATAGGATCCTTTATAAATAAGTTCTTGACTTTCCTGTAGGCTTCTCCACGAATAACTTGGGTTATATATAAAAGATTTGTAATTCAATTTAAGAAAGAAAACAGAATTTTGGATTCTTAATCACAATGTCAAATGAGATGTAAATAACATTATATAAAACTGAATTTTTTATTTTAAATGGGCCTCATGCATAAGGCGTTTTTGAGAATAGACCTGAACATAATTTTAAATGTTTCTAGCCAAGAGAAATAAAATTTGGACAAAATTATCCTTAGTGAAACCAACCCATTCAATGGATCTGCGCATTAACCCGAAACCTATTAACGGGTCAAGTATGTTTATATGGTCCATAACTGCTC